AGATTACTGTGTGCAATGACCCAGCCACTCCCACTAAAACTATTCCCCCAGGCTAATCTTTTCCCCTACTGTTGCTCACACCTTCTTGGCAACTGTTGGAAATGGGCCACCTGGATTATCACTACAAAAGGTTTTTTTCCTCCTGCTGGGAATAGCTCATCTTAATTGATTAGTCTGGTTATAGCTGGTATTGCAAGCCCCACTTGTTCATGTTCTCTGTGTATATATAGAGCTCTTCCTACTGCCAGGGCCGGCTCCAGGCACCACCTTGCAATGCCAACCAGGTGCTTGGGGCGGCCACTCCGGAGAGGGGCGGCACGTCCAGGTGTTCGGCGGCAATTCGGCGGACGGTCCCTCACTCCCGCTCGCAGCGAAGGACCTCCCGCCGAATTGCCGCCGCAGATCACGATCAAAAACCCTGGAGCCGGCCCTGCCTACTGTATGCTCCACTCCAGGCAGCCGCTGAAGTGGGTTTAGCCCACGAGAGCTGAGGCCCAAATACATTTGTCAGTCTCCTTGTTTTTGCTGATACAGACAAACACGGCTCCCCTCTGAAGAGGTAAAAAGACACTCGGAGCACAACGAAACTGGATTGTATTTCAACCGCTTCTCTTTGCCAAAGGGGAGTCGGCTTCAGACAGACCACGGACACGGCGAGTGTATCTAGTGTGCCTTGCACACACACACACACACACGCAGAGCAGGGCTCAGTCCCTCCAGCAGGGGGCAGTACACGCACACACACACACGCAGAGCAGGGCTCAGTCCCTCCAGCAGGGTGCAATGTCACACACACACACACCTCAGCCCCCCCTGCCGGGACACAGACACGCACACGCAGAGCAGGGCTCAGTGAAGTCCCTCCAGCAGGGGGCAGTACACGCACACACACACACGCAGAGCAGGGCTCAGTCCCTCCAGCAGGGTGCAATGTCACACACACACACACACACACCTCAGCCCCCCCTGCCGGGACACAGACACAGACACACACACGCAGAGCAGGGCTCAGTGAAGTCCCTCCAGCAGGGGGCAGTACACACACACACACACACACACACACAGGGCTCAGCCCTCCCGGCCCCCCCAGCAGGGACACACACACACACACACACACAGAGCTGGGCTCACACACCCACGCGGGATCCTCCACAGTCATGCTCCTGGTTTTCTCATGTGCACAATGCTCCTGCCTGGCCCCGATAGTGTTTTGCACCAGTGTAACGCGCTGGGCGAGGTGCAGGCCGCCGGGGAACTGGGCCTGGCCGCCATGGCACGGCTGCTGGCGTTCAGCGGGGGACGAGCTGCAGCTGATACTCGCGCGGCACCTTGCCGAAGCCGTGGTACTCGGGGGTGATGTCAAGGTCCTGCGGGCGGGCGGGCGGGCGGAGGGCGAAGCGCTGCAGGATGGAGGTGAAGAAGAGGAAGAGCTCCATGCGGGCCAGGCCCTCGCCGGGACACGCCCGCTTCCCTGCAAAGAGCCACGGGCGTTATTTGCTTGGGGGCTTTGCGTATCCCCCTGTAAAGAAGATTGCGGATGCACATCCCCGGGGCCCGATTCCCAGGCCCCTCTGGGTAGGAACGGCTCCCTCAGAATCCCCCCAAGCAGGGGCCTCCCTGCCCCGTGTGGTGCTGGCATAGCGGCCCTGCACCCACCCTGCACAGCCGCCAGCATATGGAGCGGATCAGAGCGTGGCCGGAGCGCGCTGCACTGGGGCTATTCCCTGCCCCATAGGGCCCATAGGGGGCAGATCGGGGGCGTGGCCGGAGTGTGCTGCACTGTGGCTATTCCCTGCCCTGCAGGGTCCATAGGGGACGGATCATGAATTAGAGCAGCCCTGAGGTTGCTGTAAGTGACACCTGGACCCAGCAGCTCCAGGCTGTGTGGTGCACAAGGGGGTTTAATGGCCCGTCCTGACCACACCTGGGTTCAGCTTCCCACACACACGCCAAGGACCCCAGGGAGTGCCCCGGGGACTTCAATTTGCCCAGCTAATGGACAGAGGAGGTGCTCCGACGCCAGGGCGAGGAGCCCGGCTCTGAAGCCGTTGGGTGCTTCCCAGGAGCGCGGGAGCTGCGACCCTTGCTCAGCCCCCGGGGCAGCGGGTTTTGCTGTATGAAGAACCAGCAGGGACCGAGCTGAGGGAACATCTCCCCGGCTTGGAGTCTGGAGTGGGCTGGGGAGACAAGGAGACCCCGTCCTTCAAAAATCCCACATTGCCACCCGCATCACACATCCCGCCGAGCCCTCGCTCATCCGCTGGTGTTCACCCAGCACAGGGGGCCGACGCAAGCCCTACGCCCCACGGAAGTCCTCGAAAGAGGCCGTTGTGGGTGTCTAGGCCTGTGCACGGGGGCAGGATCAATGCTGGCGGCCTCGGGCAGCGTCGTTTCCGGCGCGCGTGGCACTGCACCGCCGGGAGACGGAGCTCTGCTTTTGCCCCCGGGCGGGCGCCCTGCGAACGCAGCTGCTAAAGGGAGCCCAGAACCGACCTGCGGAGAAGGCCATGAACGCCGCGTTCTTCTGAAATCCACCCGCCTCGTCCAGGAAATGCCCGGGGTCGAAGGTCTCCGGGTCTTCGAACTGCGCGGGGTCGTGCAGGACGGAATGCAAGACGGGAAAGACGGCCGTGCCCTGGAGGGGAGAGTTCGGACCCGGCTTAGCGGAAACGGCTCCAGATCCAAGAGCACGGATGCTTATGGGCCTTCCCTAGAGATGGACGGCGCCTGCCTCCCCAGAGGTATTTGGTCCTGCTCAGGGCTGGGCTTGAGGCCTTCTCATGGGCCCTTCCTGCAGCCCCCTTGTGCCAGGCGCTGCACAGACTCAGAGCGAGAGACGGTCCCTGACCCAGCGAGCTACAGTCTACATAACCACAGGAAGGATCCTTAGCCCCATGGCTTGGCTGTGCTATAAATAACGCCCCTCTCGTTAAACCAGGCCAGTGTCACGGTAACAACCCCCGACAGCGGTCGTTGGCAGAGTTTGAACCCGTGACTTTCAGCCTCATTCTCAAACCAGCAGCAGCTATTCTTGAGGGGACCAGCCACTAGAGGGCAGCAAAACCAGCTTTGCCAGCAAGTCACACGAGGCCTCGTGCTCTCATTTCTACCCCGTGCAAGGTTGGTGCACCAGGCTGATCATTCCAATCCAACAGCTCCCTTGCACAAGCGCAGCCGCCAACGCCGGGGGCAGGGCGCTGGGGAACGGGGCCCCACGAGGACAGAGCGGCAGCCGCCCGACCCTTTTCGTCTGAAACTTGGTTTGGTGAAAAACGCAGCTACGGCGACACTGAAATGGTTCAGGAATTCGTGGCCTTTGTGCCAGATTGGTCACGCTGGGGGGAAAACTCTGTTGCGTGGAATATTTCTGAAACGAAATGGGTTGTTTTTTTCAGTTGGAGCCCACTTTTCACTTCAAAATGTCCTGTTCTTACAAAAATAAATGTAAACATCTAAAAACGGGCGAGAGTGAGACAAAACCTGTCCTTCGACCGGAAACAATTTCCTTTTTCTTTTTTTACTCTTCTGTTCTCTGCAAAAATGCAAACATGGTTCATTTTCGGTCCAGCCTGAAACAATTTTTTACCCCGGTTTTTTGAAAAGACCCAAGAACTGAAAGATCCCGGCTCCGCCCCGTTCTATCTTGAAGACGCCCAGCTCGGGTTTTGGACAAAGGGGATCCATGTCATGTGTACCTTAGGGATGGCGTATCCCCTGAACTGGGTGTCCCGTGTCACCGAGTGGGGAACGCCCAGAGGAATGATGTCCGCGAACCTCTGAATCTCATGGATCACAGCGTCGGTGTAGGGCATCTTGGACCTGTCCTCCATGCCCGGGACGCGGTCCTGGCCGATGACTCGCTCAATCTCCTCCTGAATTCTTTCTGTACAAACGAAAGAGTTAAGAGATGAGCCGGGCGAAGGTCACTTCTCCTGCCATTCCCTTCTCCTGATGTGCTGGTATTTCTCAAGTGCCAGCCCGGCAACGCTATTCAAGGCTGGTCTTACGGTGATGGCAATGGGCGAATGCTCAGGTGAGCGAGGTTCAAGTCCCAGCTAGCCCTGCATAATACAGCCACAGAGAAGGGGTAAGTGAGTCCCTAAAGGACTGGCGGCATGGCTTTGTGCTTAGGCCAGCCAGACTGGAGTCAGGAGTGGTAGGTTCGATTCCTGGGTGAGCTGTGACAAATCTCCAGGCCTTGGCTTCCTTCCTTTAGCTAGTTGGACTGGAAATTCTTTGGGGGCAGTGTCTGGGCAGCGCTGGGTTCCTCCTCTCTGGGGGTGTGTTTTGGGGTGCCCTGGAGAATAGGTCGCTCGCTATTGACACCTGTTGGTGAACAGGGAGAAGAGCGGCCCGGAGCTGCTTGAGAACACCAGGTGGACAGAGGCTCGGTAGAGCAGGAGCTCTCTGCTGCCATCTGCTGGTGAGCGTGGGGACAAATGGGCCAAGCCTCATTTGCATTTCACTCATGTGACAGTTTGGGGCAAGTTGGTCAAAAATCAGTTAAGTTTTAATTCTGGGGATAATCAAACATGTTTATTCCAGCTGGGAAATGAAAGGACAAGAGAACTGCACTGAATGTGGCTAGGGTGAGGGGTCACCATAACTAAAATAGTAGTCTGGTGTGATTGGGTAAGTAGAATCTGGGCAAGGCCCAAAGGAGAGAAAGAGCAGGGTAATGAATGTGCATTGGTTGCTGTATGCAAGGGCTTTGTGCAGGGTCTGAGCCCCCAAAATAGCCCTTCCTGTAGGGGCCAGAGATGAACCTGCCTGTGGTTTGCACCCTGCCAGCCTTGGATAACAAACGGTAAGTGGGGCACAGCGGAGAAGGGATGCGGCTAGTTCTAGAGCGCATTGCCTCAATCTCTACTCACAACTGTAGATGAGATGGAAGGTCGAGTTACCCTGGGGTGGATCTTACCTAACAGGTGCTGTTGATTTAATTAATTGCTGGTTTTCCCAAGTTTTAGTCTGTCCCCCCTCCCCCCCCCCGCTCCTCCCACCCGCTGAAGCTCAACAAAATCAGACTGGAAATTTGGTGGAAGTTTTTAAGGCAGGGCCATTAGCGGGCGGAACGTCTTCCCAAAGGCTGGGGAGTTCTCCATCACTGGCCATTTTCCAGCCAAGATTGCTTGTTTCTCTAAAAAGCTCGGCTCCAGTTCAGAGGGGTTCTCTCTGGGGCGTTCCAGGGCCGTCGGGGTCCCTTCTGGCCTTGGAACCTAGGGATAAAGTTTTCTTTGTTTTAACTCCCTGGACAGGTGCTTGGATGGGGAAAGTGCTGCCGATGCAGGGTTCCCCGGGGAGGCGATTTAGTTTCCTCGGGTTGCTGGGTGGGGGCTGTTTGTGAAGTGCTCAGCCGGCGCCCCTAGACAGATCTAGTAGAGACCTGTGATGGGAGGATACTTCAGCAGAATCAGCAGCCCGTATCTCAGCGTGGTGCTGGTGGTTTCCGTGCCCGCGAAGAATAAATCCAGTGCCGAGAGGATCAAATTTTCGTGGTGGAATTTGGTGTCCGGATCGTTTTCCTCCTAGAGACAAGGGGTGCAGAGGAGAGGTTGTGAGTCCCTTGCAGGGCAGAACTGCGGCTTTCTCGAGCGCTCGGATTTCATGCGCTGGGAGGGTGGACTAGCAAGGTGGATATTCTGATAACGCTGGATAAATTCAGATGTTCTGATGTTGGTTTCAGCCAGGCTCTCTTTGGGTGAGGGTCACCCGAGCCCGTTCTAGATCTTGCTGGGAAGCAGTTTTCCTGTCTTGTGAAAATGGTCGAGATTTTGGACATTTTTTTCCCCCTGTCCCGAATGTCAGAATTTGGAATGTTTTCGGGAATTGAAAAACTGACTAAAACGGGTCGTTTTGCTTAAATTTTGACCTTTTTTTTTTTAAAAAAAAAACACTAATAAATATTTTGTACTCCGCTCGAATTTCAAAACAAAAAGTCACGTTCAGCTGGAAAACTGAAAATTTTCATTTGGAAACAGGGCATATGGACAGTTTTGAACCTTCAAATTTTTTCTACATCGAGAAATTCCTTGAAACCGACCCTTTCCTGTGGAACGATTCGGTTTTGCCGAATTGGCATTTCTCAACAATCAAATGTTTTTCTCGCGTGTGAATCCCAACCAGCCCTAGTGATAGGAACAGGTGGAAGCTAAACCAGAATCAATGTGTCTACACGGGGGCTTCAGCCCAGTGGGGCCAATCTGGTTTAACCAAACCAGGCCTGGTTTACACAGGAGGTCAGACTAGATGATCACACTAGGATCCTCTGGCCTTGCAGTCAATGAGCCGAGGAGTGCCAGCCGGTGAGCGCCAGGCCAGCCGTCGCCGCCGCTAACGGCCCTGACCTGCTGCATCCGGATGAGGAAGGCATCTGTGTAGTCCCGCGGGGAGGACGGGTCCAGGGTCTCTTTGTGCTTCCGGACGACCCCGGCCACGTAGCGCTTCTGCTCCTCGAAGTTCTCGAAGAGCCGGTTGTGAGGGCCGGGCAGGTGGTTCATGACGGCAGGGAAGAGGTTGTAGAGCTGCCGGACGTAACGAAGGGGTCGCAGTGGGTGCCAAGCGATTCCCTCACGCGGGGGGCGAGATCCCCCAACCCCCCGGAGCAGAGGGCTCAGTACCAGGCCTAGGGCACCGCTGAGGTCCCCCTTCAGCCATGCCTAGGCCTGGGGGGTGTTAAGTGGGGCCTGGGGGAAGTGGTTAAGCAGCACCTAGGCCCTGTCGGGGCGGGGAGGGGGCTACGCACCCCTTAGGCCTGGGGGGGGGGGAAGTGATTAATCAGTGACCCCTAAACTCCAAAGCAAGCGGAGCGAGTTGGGATGGCTCAAGCCAGGGCCTGTGTATACGGCATCTGCCCACGGCTCCAGGGCAGGAGGACGGGGGGAGGGGGGGGGCAGGGGCTGGTGCATGCTCAGGCCAGTGGGGTTCAGTTCCTGTTTGATGCTGGGCGAGTCGTTAATGACTGGGATAATGCAGCGTAGGCCGTGCTTGGAAAATCTGCAGTGACACCCAGCTGGGAGGGGTTGGAGGACAGGATTAGATCTCGGTTGGGGTCTGGGCGGCGCCCGGCGTGACGGGGCCCTGATCTCGGCTGGGATCTGGGCGGCGCCCGGCGCGACGGGGCCCTGATCTCGGCTGGGGTCTGGGCGGCGCCCGGCGCGACGGGGCCCTGATCTCGGCTGGGGTCTGGGCAGCAAAGACCTTTCCCCCTCTATGTGTCCTTTTGCCCTCTATTGGCTGGTCCAGAGAGCGGATACGCGCTACTACCGCTACCAGCTGAGGGAGCTGCTCCTTTAGTTCAACCGGCAGAGCGGCCTGTGCTCTGGGGCTGGAGCTGTCCGATCCAGTCCCTGCTGACGACCCACCTGGGGGGAGGTCACAGGTGGGATGCAAAAGGCCAGCCCGGCCGGGCCTCGCTAACCCACCCCGCAGGGGCTCTTACCTGCACCCAGACGGTGTCCACGCGCCGGAAGTTCGCCTGGATCAGGCCGAGCAGCGTCTGGAACTCCTCATCCTCGTAGCTGAACCGCGCCCCGAAGACCACGGAGCAGATGACGTTGGAGACGGAGCGCCGCAGCATGAAGGTGGGGTCCAAGGGCATCCCTGGCGGCCAGGTCCGAGAGCTGCTTAGTTGC